AGCACCAGCCACTGAAGTTAATGTTTTTCCCTTAAAAATCAAGTTGAGAATCACTAGGGGTATATACACCACATTTTGCAAAATGTTGAACGAATTCATCTCCAAAAGATATATAAAAAGCTTTTGGATAACATTTGAGAAAATTTTGAGACTTTTATGTTCCCACGACTAGCTCATAAATAAAATATACAACTTAAAAAATGCACACACATTTGTAATTGCTAAATATCAAGTGTAGAATGGCTTTATAACATGTTTTGCCAACTCGTGTTTCTTCAGCACTTGACTTTTCAAAAACAAATTTTCTAAAAAATGTTTTGTCTTTTACACTTTCTAGTATTTGCAGATCAAGATGTTAAGAAAACAAGTTGAGGAAATTCAATGAATGTTGAATAGGGTTTCTAAGAAGGAAAATTTCATGTTTTGCCCTTAGTGATATAACAGAACTTATGCAGAAGTCCATCTATAGTATATAGTATAGTCATATCCAAGTTCAACCAGGATATCCAGGTACCAAAAGCAACACTAATGCAAATATAGTTAAAGGAATATATAAAAGATAAAAAAGTGAAGTGAGGCATAGTAATAAAAGCAAGAACTTAAGAGTCAGACAGGCCTAAAACACTAGCATCACAGTATCATATAGTATCATATAGTATCACTAGCATCACCAGTAGTATATATTGGTGTTACATACAAGCATTATAGGATATTGTGAGGACCAAATAAGATGTCATATAATGGATTTAAGGAATGTAATGCTAAATGTATTTTAGCTACTATTATTCTAGTATGAAGCAGGATAAACTAAGTAATAAGCTTCTTAGAAGCCCGAGGGTTTTCATAACTTTGCTTTGATGAGTTTTAAATCTTGGCACCAATTTCATGTACACAGATACTTGTTCGTTCTTCTTGGCTCAAGGCTGACCTAATGGTCTTGAGTGGCTCTAAAACGACGGTTCTCAAATTGGTTTACCAACTCCTGTAGGTCCCGAAGACCCTTTGAGGGGGTCTATAAATTAAATAATAGTAATTACTATTTAAATAATAGTAATTCTAATTTTATTAATAATAGTAAAACTAATTTCATAGCTATACTAATTGTCTAATACTATTTTCGTTTTTCACTGTGTTGACATTTGCACTGATGGAGCAAAAGCAACGGTGGGTAACACTACTGATACTTTAGCACGATTCAAGGCAGGGGTACCAAAGCATTCTGGTGGACATGTTATTCTTCACTACTGTGTGCTCACAGGAAGAAAGAAAACAGTTTCACTTAAGGTGATACATTACTTTTACAAAATCCTGACCCTTCAGTATATCTTTTTAATACCCATGAAGCACTTCTGCATACTTAACCACAATGGTTGTCTTAAAATAAAGCACATGAACCACCACTTGAGTTATGAGCTCAACTAGTCATGTTGCTCACTGAACACCATTTTTACTTAATGAATGACTGAGAAACTATGGTATTCAGAGTGTGAGTATTTAGCAGACATTTTCTTAAAAATTAATGAAGCAAGCCTGTCACTTCAAGGAAAACAATAACAATGTTGTTGCCGATAAGAAAACTGAAGCTTTAAAGTGGAAATAAGAATTTTGGAACACTCATATCTTCTGCAGTAAGCTTGATAGCTTGCCAACACTTAAAGACTTTTCCGATGAGATCAGTGGTGACATTAATGAATGTAATTTTTAAAATATAGTATAATGACGTGTGACAATATTTGGAAGATCTGTGTAACTCAGTGAACTTACATTTTCCAAATGACTAATACATGCTGTTACAAAATTAATCATACACAGGTAAAACATCCATTCAAAGTGAAAGATACATCAATGGATTTCATTGGCATAGTTTTAGATTCCAAATTATAATTAAGAAGCTATCACTCATCGAGTTTTTGTGTAATGTCAAAGAAAAATATCCACAATAATCTCAAAAGTCTACTAAAATAGTCCTCCTTTTCCTTAACTACATCTTTGTGAGACCAGATTTTCTTCATGTATTTCAATCAAAACATCACTGCATTGAATGAAGAAGCAGATATAAACATCCTGTTTTCTACTATTAAAGCAATCATTAAAGAGATCTACAAAATGAAAAATAAGGCTGCTTCTCCCATCTATTTTTTAAAATTTGGAAACATACTATGATTTTTCATTCAAATGCATTTTGTTAATATGTAATAGGTTTAATATATTTTAAATGAATTAACAAAATTAAAAATGCTATCAGTTTTATTTTTTAATATGATAAATATCAATATCTAAACTTATATAAACTGAAGGTTTTTAAGATCTTCAATAATTTTTAAGAGTGTAAAGAGGTTCTGAGACCAAAAAACGTAAGAACCATTATCTAAATAGTTATCTTAACTTGAGCTGGTCTCCTTTGACTATTCAAGAAGAGAATACTTAGGGCAAACTTATCGCAGAAAATCATCACTTCCTAATCAGGTTAGGCAGTGGAACACTGTGAGGAAAGATCTTCAGGAGCTAGAATTAGCACTTGAGAGTTCATTCTCACAGTAACAGCTAAGTCTAATAGAGTAGGACCATTGAGTTCAAGAAAGGCAAGCCAAAAAGCTTTTTGGAAAGATGAGCTGAAAGTCTGCATCAAGGAAAAATAAAGAGCTGAAACCCATTTTGATTAGAAATTCTGTTTGCTTTTGATATGTGTGTCTCTATAAATATATTAGAGAGAAACTTGCCCTTTCCTAATCAAAAAAGGCAAAGGGAATTGCAATTGGATCTCACCATGGGCCCACAATTTCTGCTCAAGAGAGAGTTAATAAAGTGTTAGCACAGTCCATTGCCGAAATGGTTCCATGATCAACTTTCAAATTTCAGTTCTAACACTCGTGTAGGAACTCTTCTATTATCTGTCTCCTTTTGGATCAACAAGTGAACAAAGCTAGCCATGAAGCTCAAGGTCTTTTGGATTCTCTCCTTAAGTCTGAGGATAGAAAGTGATGTATATACCTGAATATTGGCAGGCTCCGAATTTAATAAGGAATAAAAGCCATGAGAAACTGTTTGACCCGTTTAAGCCTCTCATCCTGAAATTTCCATCTCACTGTGATGAAAAGAATCAAATTATGATCTAACTCAAAGATGAGTTGTTGTCCAAGAGGAAAGGGAAATAAGGAACAATTCTAGTTTCATACAGGATAGTGTCTGAAAACAGGAGACAGAGTATCACCAATGAGGTCAAAGCAAGAATTGGAATCACCCAGTAGACTCTTTAATCTTTCTTTTGATCATTGCAGGAAGCTTGCCTAATGCCACTTTCTTTATCCACCCAGGCCAACTTGGTCACAAATTACCATTTATCATCCTCAAGATTTCGTATATGTGAAGAAAGTAAAGAATAACGATTTACCTGAACCCTTGAGTCAGCCTGCCTGAACCTGATCCTGCTGTAATGACCTGGGCAGATGATTTCATTTCCTTCTCTGTAAAATGGGAAGAGTGACAGTACTTACTTTATAAGGTTCTTTTGAGGATTATCCTAATAAAGCACTTAACACGAGACTTGGCACACACTAAGTACCTAATAAACGTAAATTATTAAAGGGATTCTTTGGTTTATATTCTCCTCTGTGAGTTTTTTCCGTTATTTCTCAACATAACTCCTTCCTTTCAGGGCTATTATTTCCGAGGTTCTGGTCCCTCATATCCCTGAGTCATAATCATTAAGATGCCGGGTTTCTGAGATCATCCCTTCTACTGTACTCTAGGGCTCCCTCTCTTGACTGCTTAGCTCTTGAGGGGGCCCAGACCTAAATTCCTGACTGCGAGTCTCTCTCTGTCTCTGTCTCTGTTTCTCTGTCTCTCCCCTCCCTCCCTCCTTTCCTCCCTCTCTCTCCGTTTCCTTCCCGGGCTTGGCCACCTGTCTTGGAGCAATATCCTCAATCCCCTTGGAAACCACGTAAGCCCCAGTAGACTCTGAGAAACTCTCCAGACCAGAAGTGGGAGCGAGGACGGGGGGAAGGCCATGCCCTGAGGTGAGAACGAGGCTGGGGGCGGGGCCGTGATTGAGGTGAGAACGAGGCCATACCCCGAGAAGAGCGTGCTGGGGGCGGGGCCACACCCTGAGGTGGACTCGAGGTCGGGGGCGTGGCCGTGCCGGGGAGCCGCTCGGTCCCTTTGGGATGAGCCGGCCGTCTCCACAGGAGGCGCGCGCAGCCACCGGGCGTGAGGCAGCGCAGGGGTTAAGGCTGCCGGCGCCACCTGGGCGCCGCTGAGGAGACCCACCAGCCGGCAAATCCCGCGCGGGCGCGGCGAACAGGTGCCTGCGCGCGTCATGCGTCGGCAAGGGGCGGGGAAAGGGGCGCGGCCGGAAGCCCGGGGCGGGGTGCGGCCGGCCCGGTGAGCGGGAGGAGCCGAGGGAGGCAGGAAGGAGCTCGCCGGGCTGCGCCGCGCGCGATGTGGAATCGCCGCCTCGGCGCCC